TTTAACCCCTTTAAAATTCCCAAAAAAGGGGCCCCCCCCCCCCCCCCCCCCCCCCCGGTGTTTGCCATCGGGGTTAGGTTTTCGTCGCTTGGCAACGACGTTGTACAACAAGCCCTCCCCTCGGTGTTTGCCATCGGGATTGGGTTTTCGTCGCTTGGCAACGACGTTATAAAACAAGCCAATTCACTTCGTGGACTCGGCAATCAGGTTACCGGTTTTTTTAAACCTCTTTTTTTTTTTTGGCGGTGACCATAATGGTGGTCGAGTAGATCATGTTGTGCGGGACGGAGCACCCTCACTACGCGTAAGGGGGATGGTCGCATCACGTTGTGTTAAAATGGTCAAGCATCCTCGAGGCAGTTGCAGAGTGCTTACTACAACTGTCTCTGGAAGTGAAAGCACCAGAAAATAAATTAAGTCATACGCAGCTGTCATCCGTACGCAAGGAAGTAAGCACAAGATGCCGAACACCCTTAGCAGGATGCAGCGCACTCTTTAGCAGGATGCAGCTCACCCTTCATGCGACTCGCCGAATACCTCACGGTGCTTCGCGCTTGGTGATGTGAGAGCCTGGTCCGGTGAGAACCCGGCGTGCTCCGTCCCGGCTTTGTAGAGATGCGAGGTCAATGGTCTAACGACTACGGCATGCACGACTATGAGTAACCCCCCCCCTCGGCGGGCCCAAAATGAAAAAAGCGGAGTGTGGGTCCAGGACCTTTTTTTCTTGTACCCTTGGTTGTACGTACGTGTTGAAGGAACGTGTGAATCGAGGAGGTATGTATTGAGGTATAAGTACTGGCAAGTTTCAACGAGAGGCAAGTGAGAAATCATCTGCTGGTGCAAGCTGGTGAAAGTGTTCCAGCAACGTAGGAGGAGTCGAGGAGGTATCGATGTGGGGAACAGTTCCTTTCTGAATATTAATAATTGATTTTGGTTGACAGCCTTTTCAACTGATTGGGCTGACCTACTGTAGCGGCGAGGAGGCGTGCAGTGTCACCGGCGGCCTCCAAGCACGGCACACCATGCAGAAACTCGGTTTCGGTGCATGGACTGAACCAAACGTTTTTCACGAAATTGCAGGTACTCCGTCCATTTAGCACGGATATCCGTGCGGTTTGGACGTTTTTTTCTGACGGAAAACTGTCCTCGACGCAACGATTTCGCGCGGTTTATGCTACGGAGTAAACAAAACCCGCTCCGTAAAAAAAAGAAACGCTCCGCTCCGTGAGACTTTTGCTCTCGGATAAACCGCTCCGCACCGCTCCGTGATATTTTCAAATGAAAAAAAACGCTGCGTGGACCGTACAAAAAACGCTTCGCGGGGAGGTTCTCCTCCGTGCACTGCTGTACTGAAAAATGAAATTATGTCTACAAGTACATTAGTGGTAGTGGGTGCGTGATGAACCGGGCACTAATACAGGAGTACGGCCCAAAACGGCACTACAGCAGTGGGCAGCCCTCAATTTGGCTGTGCCCAGAGATTTGACCCGGGGCACGCTTTAGTCTATACCGGCAACCGGCCCTCAACATGGGCCTCTACTGGACAAATGTTAATGTTGTGTACAGCACGGCGGGTTCGTATGTATGTGAGTCTCTCACATCAGTACTGGTACTGCTGTCGCCTACTGCTGTACGTGTTACAGCTGTCGCCTACGCACGTGCCACCGCATAGTCTCGAGCTGTTTTTGGGACAGAACAAAAAAAAAAATGCCGTCGGACGCGGGAGAAGCGTCAGCCATGTTGACACCGCAATACACCTCGCCAAAGCTCCACCCACAACGCAATCTCAGGAAATTCAGGGCACGGCGAGTTGGGTACGAACGTGGTTTGGTGTGTGGTAGTGGTGGGAGGGCATCAGATTGCGGGCCGCCGGCATGGCATTGTGGATGGGTACGGGCTGCTGTACATGCCACAGAATTTACAGCTGCAGCAGACCAACCTTTTCCGTGACATACAATACAGTTCCTCCAAGGGCGACCAAAGACCAAAAGACGAGAACACCACGACGAAGCCCATTCAACATCTTCTATAGTCTAGGCTATTGCTGTAGACCACTTCATCGCCAGCGAGCTGAGAAGGCATGGTGCAAGAAAAACGGTGCGGTAGAACGGTCTTCCTCCAACAGGGTACAGCATGACACCCAGTTGTCATAGCAATGGCACAACACCGAACAAGAAATAACGCTCTTGTGGACTACTCACCACATTGTTCGGTGTCCCTTTCCCCCAGTCGCGGCAGCGAGAAGCCCCGGCAGTAACCCTGCTATTGCTCTCTGTTTCGCGTCGATTGGTGAGCTTTAGGTGGCACTCTACACCAGCCAACATGGAATAGGACCACAGACAACAAGACCCCAGGGGATATAAAACGAAAACAATTGCCCCGCCGCACGGACCGGTGCCAATAAAAAAAAATTCCATCGGAAAATTCCAGCATCGCGCGTGGCGCTTCCGCGGGAGCACAAGACCACGTCAAGCATTGTTGTTGCTGTCTGCTGGCGTTTTTGGATCGACCGCAATTCTGGCATACGCTCATCAACTAAAGTAGCATATACAACCGCGAATCGCTGCGCAATCTCCCGATCAGATGCTTCTCTTTCGCGCCTATCTTGGCAGTCCTGCATACAGCAGTAGTCTGTAGTCTCCAGATTCTGTGAAGTCTTGGTTTCGGTATCGGGAAGCACAGCTGTTTCATTTCTCTCTGATTCACGCCATGAAACCGGTCAAAGAGCGCACTCTGGGTGCGTGGTTCGCCAGTTAGCAACTGCCCGATGACTCTAGGTTGTGCTATCTTGTAGGTAGCGGAAATCAAACCATTAGACTGTTACAAGAGGCGCATTCACTCTGAGGGGGGTGACTCCCCTCGTAGGCCCTCTGCTTTCCACCCAAATGTTCATTTCGCAAATGCTCTCACGCGTCTCCCACATCCTGCAGGATTGTATCCGGGGGGGTCACGCCTCTTGTAGTGTTTGGTTTCAGCTTCGTTGACAGGTCAAACAATTACCGCCGAATGGTTTGATGTTCGCTTCTACGAAAGTTCGGATCTCCCTTTGGGAAGAAAAAAACTCACAATTTCAAGAGTGAATAGCATAGCTCAAGGGTGAATACTTACGGAGAGAGGGAACAGACTGCCTGACTGCTGAACCCTCGCGTTGGCGACGAGGTTGGAGGTTGAAGGACAGAGCACCAGGGACACCGTAATTTCATTAGGAAATTGTTTCACATTTCGCCTCGGACCTTGGCCATTGATCACATATTGGGTAACTCGGTGTTTGTTTGTTTGTGTGTGTGTGTGGAAAAAACGGCATACAGTAGTCCAGTCTCTTTCCCTCCTGAGGTGAAAACCAATCTCACCAAGGAACGTCTTGGAACGGTACGCATCCTCGGTGATCGACGTTACAGCCACCCACACCCTCGTGGTCCTCCTGTTTTCTCCGCCTTCAACCCGCGCCATATTTCTTCCTCTTGCAGGTATTGTAGGAAATAGTTGCCATCCCTCGGTCAACGACAACCCAGCACCCAGAGGTCAAGCATGACAGGGCGGGAGTAAACTAGAGTGGTAACGCCAACGTAGCTGGCAAATTGTGTTCACACCAACGATCGCTGGGGAGTGGCAATGCCAACGCAGGTACATGTCTGCACACTAACGCTCGCTGCTGCTGTATAACAGACCAACCCAGGGGGGAAACGGAAGTAGAAGGGACCGATTGGTCGAACCAAGTGTACGCGAGTACATTTCCTTTCCTTGAACACCGGCAGCAAGGGTTCGCGGACGGCCGGAGTAGAACCGATGCAGCTAGGAAATTTACACGAGACACAAACTCGTCATCTGGTGCGTGGTCATCGCATGCTCTAACGAAGACAGTGCTGGAGTGAGTGCCTACTGCGCTACCGTACATGCAAGGAAACAAGCACGCGCTACATATTCACACGGCATCATTAAAGCTACAGTTCAAATTTAGTACACGAGGAAGCCGAGCGTTCCTGCCCCTAACGCCACACCAAGAGCAAAGAAAGCAAAACCTGAGAAACGTACATAGGAAATGGATGGGGTTATGGGCCTTTTCACCCAGTCCAAACGTCCGAATGCCTTCTCCATCTTCTGCCTCTACAGGCAAATATGTACAACGCACTGCCGTGATCGCCCCCACGACCTGTTTTCGGGTGCATACGGTTGTGCATCGCAATTCACTCCTCTCTCTGCAGTAGGCTCGAACCCCGCCCGCCGACGCTCCCGCCCGCCAAGGAGATGCGACGGTTTAGCTCGCTCACGATGGGGTTCTGCGGCGTGTACATCCCGGTGGCAAGCAGCTCGTCCCGCCACTCTATCAGTCGCCTCATCTCTGTAGATCCGTCAACGTCGCCTCCCAGCGGGCCGGACGCCGAAGCTCCCCCTCCACAATCAACATCAGCATCCACGGAGCCCCCGTGAGAGGCCGGCCCTGATTCCCGCCGCTGCTGAACGGAAACTTGGGCAGGGGCAGGAGTGGGTCTAGGGGGAAGGCTGGGAGAAGGCCCCGGGTCGGGGAACGCCGGGTTGGTAGTGGGGGGGGGCGATTCTCCTCTGCGTGGCCCCCTGGTGTCCACGAGAGGGGGTTGCGTGATCGTCGGGGTAGCATCTGCGATGGTGCTAGGGTTGATCTTGGCTAGGCCGGCCTGAGCTTCTTGTACCAAGCTCACGTGTCTGTTGGAGCGGAGAAGAGCGGAAACAATAGGGCGGGGTGACATCAGGATCAGGCATCAACAGCACCATTGCCACAGATGTCTTCCATGGATTGAACGGTTGGTGCTGTTGCCCTCTTGAAAAAGTGTGGTTGGCGAAACCATGTCGAGGTCATGTTATCAAACAACTTTATGAGGTCCCAAAGATCGGAATTGAGTGCTGGAGGGCACCCAAGGTGTCGATGATCTGGAAGCTATCAATGACTCGCCTTCCTACCATAATTCCCGACTCCTACCTCGCGCGTAGCAACTGTCCGTATTTTAGCATATAGTACACCACCACTTACCGGTAGCGTCATGGCCCTCATGTCAGGACCGCCAACAACAACGGTGGGTTGCGGCCCTGACATCTACCGGAATGTTTGCATACGCCAACGCCATTGTCCCTGGAAACACGCTCATTCCACCTCAACCTCCTTCTCTAGACGATTTACCAAGGCCCGCCCGAACCAACCGGATTCCCCAAAGGCTACAGCTGCCGAAAACACAAGGATTGCCGCTTGCAAACTAGTAACAAGACACTCACCACCCGACACCTAGCCAACAGCAAAAGGTCCGATCCATATCGAGCACCCGGCCACCAGCCTCTAACACATCAATGCAGCCGACTCCGGTACCTGAGTTCGTCCAGCTCCTGCTTTATGGTGCGTAGCTCGTTCCTATCACCATCCAGCATGAACCGTTCCTCCCTTGCTAGGTACTCCAGCCGGAGCTGCTCCATCTCGCGACGCGCGCAGGTCGTCTCACGCTCCTGGAAAAAAAAAAAAAAATGATGCCGATAACCAACGAAAAAAAAAACTTAACAAACAGGGGCTGGGAAGCTTACTCGTGGTCCGTGGTGGGAAAAGGGAACGGCTTGGAGCACGGTTCTGGGTTAGGGTTGTACAGTACGAAAGGGAAGGCGGCGGGTGTCGAGAAGCCATGCTCACAAGGCAGCATCAGGCGAGAAAGGCATAAACACCAGACCGAGACAAGACGATGATGATGACATGCATTGCAATAGAGCAGCATATGCCAAGGAAACCACAGGCGTACTGGCACTTGGTACCTGATGATGCCTGAGAGCCCTAGCCAGCTTGTGGATGTTGGCTCGGTACTCCTCCTTTTCTAGCAAGGCCTTGTTCTTCAAGCTCCGCTCTCGCTCAATCTGACATGACCAAACACCAAACACCAAACACGGTGATTCCGGCATGTACATGTACACCACGGCCATGTAAGAAACGGCCATCGCATGTGCCAATTCTACAGAGCGCTTTCTGAGGAACTAGGTTCGAAATGCGGGAAAGCAGTCACCTCGATTAACATCGATTTCCCCAACATTACGCATGCCTGCTACAAGCACGAAGTAGTTCGTATCACAAAGCCCACAACACCACGAGGACGACGGGCTTCAAGATAACAACAAGAAAACATGTAAAGCCAACAGCCGCAAAAAAAACACAGCCTTCCAGCATAAACCCTTAACGACGCTGTCGGGCTGGCAACAACAGTCAGCAGTCGCCCCTTTAGGCCGAGCACGTCCAGAATACACATGACTTCCTAACAACTACAAGGAATGACAACAGCAGCAATGGCATGACAGCAACAGCAGCCCACCTGTGCCTCCGCTTCGGCCTTGGCTGCCCCCAACCGATACACCTCCTGCCTCAGGCCTCCCTCCGGCGTTCTTCTCTGCTGCTGCCTGAAACGCTCCAGATCCTCGTCTGTGGCAGCTGCCCTAGCACGGGCATCTTCCAAAGACTTGGCGTGGCTGGCAACTTGCTTCTCCAAGGCTTTCACCTTCATTCGCTCTAGGTCCACCTGGCACAGCAGCACGGTTCAGGACCAAAAATACCAAGACACACAAGGGTTGGTGTGACGAGCCCGAGTATCACACCGCCGCCCAGGTATTGGGGACGACAGTTGATCTCCTCTTTCGGCTGTGGCTGGCGCCGCACGGTGATTAAGGTCTCAAGAAGTGAAACAGGGATGAGGGTGCTACCGTCTCGAAGGAAACCGAAGGTAGGGTTCGCTACATGTGCCCGTCCTAGTCATGGAAATCGTCTCATGTGATCTTCGTGTTACCCTGTCCTGTGGAAGACAAAGGGATCATGGACGTTACCGTAGTCGTCAACCCATTCTTGTCCTCGTCGTAGAAGTGACACGTGTAAGATACAAGAAGGCAATGGCGTGGATGTACTTGTTGGTAGTGGTAGTGGTCGTGATGGTGGTCGTGGGGGTCATGGGCTTGCCCTTCGCAAGAGCAGTGGCCAAACTCGGGTACACCCGGTCCAACCACGGCCATAATCGGGTACCCCTACAAAGACGCTGCTGGGAACGACCGCCTGACACCATCTGATTGGCTGGCGCCCGCCCCTACCCGACCTTAACCGTCTTTCCACCGGGTGCACCCGATCTTGGCTTCTCACCCCCGGGAGGGGTACCCGGTTTGTCTTTCCCCTACCCGAAAATGGCCGGGATGTTCGACCAAACCCATGGACACAATCACGGGTCGGACGCCAACCGCTGGCCGCTCGTATGTCGCCAATGAGAAAGCGGACGAAGCAGAGAACATGTCTATCTCTTAAATGCGTCTCGTGCGTGTCACCTATCGTGAGTTAGGTATTCATCCAGCTCTTCTTGATCATTTGCATCGAACGCCCGCTGTCCCCCCCAAGCAAGAGTTCCACCGCCGGCGGTGGGTACACCTCCGCCCGCCTACGCCCCCCGGTATTGAGGGCAGGGGGAAGGGCATTGCTGACGTGTGCTTGTGTGCATGGGGTTTGGTCGAAAAGCCCAGATATTTTCGGGTAGGGGAAAGACAAACCGGGTACCCCTCCCGGGGGTGAGAAGCCAAGATCGGGTGCACCCGGTGGAAAGACGGTCAAGGTCGGGTAGGGGCGGGCGTCGGCCAATCAGATAGTGTCAGGCGGTCGTTCCCAGCATCGTCTTTGTAGGGGTACCCGATTATGGCCGTGGTTGGACCGGGTTTACCCGAGTTTGGCCACTGCTCCCTTCGCAAATATAGATTCACTCTGATCACCACCCAGCTCTCACTCGTACCGTACACGAAGCCTGGTACAGCAGATCCCCCCTGACCAACATGTCCTCATCCACACGCTCACTCTAATCCTTAAACGCACAGCCACCACAGCAGTAACACGCACCGTGATATCATCATTTCGTGAGAGGCATGACGGGGTACGGTACCTTACCTGGTGTTTGGTCTCCTCCCTCAGTCGTCTCTGCAGCAGCTGCAACTCCGACAGTTTTTGAGCGTGGTCGGTCTTCCAAGACTCCTCTCGAGCCTTTAGCTGCCGTTCCCTCGCCCCTACTTCGGACAGCGCCTTCCGAAGCTTGCCCTCCAGCTGACGCGGCAAGCAGGTTGCGGGGGGGGAGAGAGAGAGCCGTTTCCAAACTTTTTCCAACAACAGCAGCTTTGAAGATGTTGAAGAAGCCACAAGTGCAGGGTTGAGCACCCACCCCCAGGGAAGTTGAGCTGGGTATAGAACGTCGTGTGATAGTAGAGTTTTACCCTCTGATGTTCATGAATGTTGTTTAGCCAACCTTCATGTACCATTCGTCGGACAGTGAACTCAAGTCTTCGGGCCGTCAGCTAGAAGGCGAGATATCGCTCGCACGAAGCATCAAACGAAAGGCTTCGCACCGGTTCGTTGCTTCAAAACCTCTGACAAACCCTTGCGCGGTTGCTACAACATCGTGCCATATGTTCAAGGTGTGCTAGCTACTTCAAGGAAGTATGATGTCATCCATCGTCAACACGTGTCGACAGTCACAATCGAGACTTCGCAATGCAAGCAGCCGACAAAAGGAATCTCGTCAACGCCTATCGTGCAGCCGTACGTTCTCCCGAGCTGCTGCCGCATTGGTTGCATCGTTACCGTGCACCTTGTACCGGTCTCAATATATCGAGGTCAACACAAGCAACACCGGCTACAAACAGCACCTTCGAGTAGTCGGCTTGTGCGTGGCTCAGCTCTCGTCGTCTGGTCGCCTCCCTCGCCTCCCACTTCTGCTCGAGAGCTTCGTCCTGCACAGACAGACGCAACAATACATCAAGCGCACAAACGACGGCCAGACAGGAAGTGGAGTTCAACAGCATGAGAACAGGGGCCGACGATTCGAAATACGTTCATGGCCCATCTTTTCGAGCCCCCGTGCACCCACCACGCAGCATCAATCAAAACATAACTCCGAAAAGAGAGGCTGATTCTTCTACGCCCATGCAACGCCTTTAGAATTCATCGCGCACCTCGCAAAAAACGTTTGCAACGATCGACAAACGCTTGAGCTCACGAAACGGTTGTGACCGATGAGCGGACATGCCACAATATTTACCCACAACGTTTCATTTTCCATTTTCCCTGACGTCAGCCGTTTCGATTCCCAAGGAACGACCAGCCACACACACACATGCCAGGTACGTCAAAACGCATCTTCTCCTACACTCCACACAAGCGCGGCCACATCATATCTCTGGAAATTCGAAGGTCCACATCGTGCCAAGAACCTTGCAAGGTCCCACAACGCACGCGTTGCCACATTTCGCACATCACCTCTTCCCCGTCTATCATATTACCGCACCTTTTCCCGCAGGCGCTTGGCGAACTTGGCTTCCTCGACGACCCTCCATCTCTCCCACTCCACTCGAGCACGTTCGAGATCTACCTCCGCTTCGGCCCTCGCTGCCTTCGCCTCTACCGCTGCCGCCGCTGCCTGTGGTAGTCCTGCCCCTGCCCCTGTCGCCATCCCTGTCCCCGTCGACCTCGCCTCTGGTGATTGTGCAGTTGGCGGCACTAGTGGCATCGGTGGTGCTGATGATGGCCGCATGGGATCGATGGTCTGGCTTAAGCCTGGAAGATTCGCCTACAGGAGGGGGGTAACGGGTAGGACGTCATGCAGCGAGGCAACAGATCAGCGTGGCGTCGGGTCCAGTCAAACGTCGACCATTCTCCCTGTTTCTCGCTACAGTATTGATGGCGGACGGGCGTTTCCAATATTTGTGTCGCCGTGGGTGTCCATCCCCTGACAAGAAAATCAAGACACAACGGGCGCTAGGGCTGGACGAGCCTAGAGTAGAGTGGACTACTCGGGAGAGGGTGGGAGCGAAACGTCTTTACAAACCGCCAAGTGAATATGACGCAACAAGCTTGTGGATGTCACGTCATGACTGGTGAAGTCAGCAAGTCATCGAACCAGGATGGCCAGTCAGGCAAACATGACCATAGAAACCAACCAAAGATGTAAAGGGGGGGATTTTCGTTTCATGTGAGGCAGAGAGAAGGCGGGACTCCTCCGCTCTTTCCTGAAGCCATGCGGCGGCACTAACCTGATCGTTGGGGTCACCAGTAGGCCCCATGTCTTCCAGGAGAAGGATCACACGAAGGGAGCACAGCCGTGATGGCAGGGAAGACGGCGGCGATGTCGCCACTTGGTCGTTGTTATCGCGTTCGTTGTTGACGCTCGCCACAGTCAGGTATCGGTCCAAGACCTTGACCTCAACAGGGGATGATCCAGATGCGTTCCCGGGTGTGATAACGCCCGCCCTTTGCCGGGCCTTGAGGTGCGCTTTGAAGCCGGCCATGGACGTGAACGTCTGCCGTGTTCCGGCGCAGCAAGATGCCAACAATATCACGGAGTTACGACAGTCGGGCGTTGGCATTATCGCGGCACCAGCAACTGCACCAGCACCAGCAATAGCAGCAACAGCAGCGGTAGCGGAAGCAACTCCAGGAGAGAACCCAAGGGACCAAACATCCGACGGGTGATAACGAGTAAATGCGAAATAGGAGTCTTACAGCGGGTGTCGCCTACAAAAAACACCGACGCCAAGATAGTTTCAAGAGTCCATTCCAGAATTGCCATGGGCGCCATCATACTGTACGGTAGGCGAGAAACAGCATCATCACTATCGGCGCTGACACACCTTGCCGGTGTCTCTGCAGCGGAAGTACTGCGGGGGAGATTCCACGACATCCTGCAGGGGTATGGTAACAACCCCAACCTCCTCTTCCTTGAAACGATCCTTATTCCGAAGCGAAACCACCTGGCACAAACCAAGCAACACGAAAGACAGAAAGGCATGAGCTTATTAATTGCGGACGGCGATGTCTCAGACAGAAACGCATGGCGGACCTGCAGTTCAAAGAGGGAGTGCGTAGAATCGATCAATCAGGGCGGCCGGTCGAGAGGTCTGGATGATGATATTCCTACGGAGACAACCAGGATTGGTGCGATAGGTGTTGTATCGGAAACGGCTATTGGCAACGGCAGAAAAACAGAAGAGAATGCATCAGTTATGCAAGGGTCAAAAACGTCATCACCGTGAGAGTCTTCGTGTGTGAAACACGACACCACAGTGCGTTGGGGGGGGGGGAGGGAGGGGTGCGTTGGCACTGGTACGGAATGGGGCCCTCATCCTGAATACACAGTTGGGGCGCAACCCGTGGTACCGGTACATGTTCACGCTTTCGTCTCGACGGAAGGACAGACAGACAGACAGACAGACAGACAGACAGACAGACAGACAGACTCACCATACTCCTGTCCTGCACGGTAGCGGCGAGGCGGTCGAAGCTCATCCCGAAGGAGAACGTGCAGCACGAGTTCGAGAGAGGCGTGTCCATCCGGGGAGCCGCCCACACCATGGAAGTTCGCACCGGAGCCGAAGTCCCGAAGTAAGGGTAGTGGTAACAGGCCACCTTCAAGGTGCACGTACGGCAACACAACACCTCCAAAAATCAAAGACGGGTCGTGATTGTCGCGCAGATGCTGGAGCTAGTAGGGAGGGTACGGTAAGCACGCGGGTCGCGTGGCGGAAAGCAGTGCCACCTGTATAGATGGGGGTACATCTCGAAGATCTGGAGAAATTCGTCTAGCGGTTTTCAGGTGGCCCGCAAGGCATGCGGTGCTGCATATGTTTCTGGGTGATCGTCAGCCCGTCGAAGTTCGAACGTCGTTCAAACCCCTCGGAAAGCCCAAGGAGCAAAAACACAAACACAACCGCCTTGTGGAGATGAACATTGTGGAGATGAACATTCGTAAACTTACCACGTAAGCCGCGTTCTCGAGGTCCTTGACCGATGCCAGGTTGATGGACATCCGATAGCGGCGCGGCACCGCGCCCCCCGCCACCGCCCCACTCCCGACCACTGGCGGCTCCTCCGCCTGCACCCCCGTTGTCTTAACCGCGGCACCCCCCCCAATCCCTGACCTACAACCCCTTGCCCCCTCAAGGCCGAAGCTGTTTTCTCTTTCCTCCTCCTCGTCGTCTTCCAACTGCTCGCTCTCCTGTTCGAAAACCGCACCGTCTTCGGCCCCCTCCCCGGCCGGGCCGTCGTCTTTGTCTGTCAAGGACAAGCAGACGCGGCACGAGCCCACCTCGTTCCCTTCGGGTGACATGAGCTTGACGTTGACGTGCTGCCGACCGCCGCAGGCCGAGGAAGGCCACGGCACCACGCCCGTCGCGATCGTGACGTCACCGTGTCGGGCTCCAGAGCCGCCGAGCACCTGGACGGCCGCAAGGACCCCGCCGACGCCCCCCTCCCTTCCGGGGTTCGGCGGTTCCCCTTCCCACTCCCAGGTGATGGTCTCCAGGAAGTCGCTGTCTTCGGTGTCTACCTCCCCCCGCTCGCCGCAGCCAACCACCCGGAAGCTTTCCCGGAAGGACGCGGAAGGGTTAGCGTTAGCCACTCCCGCGATTGCATCGGTTGCCGTGGCCGCACCGCCGGTTTTTGCAGACAGCAACAGCTCTCTCGTGGCGTCAGTGATTCCCACCAGAACACCGCCGCCGCCGTTGACGCGGTTGCTCAGCGCCGAACCGTCTCCGCTGCCTGGGTCATCAACCGGCCTGAGCTCTAGCCGCTGCAGCGCCGCCGTGATGGCGACCGCCCGTCCAACTCTCTTCCCAACTACCGCAAGGCGCGACCATGTCTTCACGCCGCTCGCGCCGGCTGAGCCCTCGGTCCTGCCCATGGCCGCCGCTGCCGCCGTCGCCGTCGCCGGCCACAGCCCGCCGGCATCGGGGCTCCCAACAAGCTCGTCGCCAGGCCCAGGTTCGGAATCAGCCTTCGTCAGCTCGGCGCAGATGGAGACAACCGGGGGGTCCCGTGACTCTTCCTCCCCCCCTCCGTCGTACTCGTCTCGTTGCTGCGGGGCCGCCAGGGGCTCGCCGGGGAGGTGGAGCTGGAAGTCTCCCTCCATCCCGGTGCTGCCAAACTCGCACGTGCTGCGGCCCTGCCACTCCTCTGTCGGTAGCAGCAGAGACATGTCCACGTCTGCGTGCGCCAGGATGCGTCCTTCCGTGCAGAGGTAGACCTGTACCGAAATTACGTCATCGGGCCGGATTCGCAGGAAACCCGCAATACGGCGCGCGAGCAGAAAAAAAAAACATAGCGAGGAGAAGGGAGAGGGGAGGGAAGCGAAGCTGGTTGTATTCTTGTGTCGCCCGCTCAACGCCGAACGAGGGTGGTGCGAGCTAACCGTAAGGATCGTTGGTACTGCGAAATAGCGTGTTTGAACGCATGGTAGCCCCACCAGACTCTGATGTTTGCGGCGTCATATTTCCTGGAATGGGGTCGATTAATGTGCAGCAGTGTTGCTTGCTGCGTATACCAGTGGCCTCTTCGCTATGTGTACTGCGCTTGAAGACTAGACTACACAGCTTCCCCGGTGCTCCAAATATCGCTACAACATATAACCGCAAATATCCCGTTTACAGAGCGATTACGCAAGTAAGCCCGTCGCCTTCAACAGAAAAAACGAAAATATCACTTCCTCCTCCCGCCCACACATCTAGATGGACCCAAAATACATGTAGATACGTGTGCGCGCAGCAGAAGAGAAAGAGGCTTGCATGATACATCATCAAAGCGCGACCCTTGCGAACAACATCCACTGACCTGCAGCGGCGGGGCCTCGGCCAGGAAGCGGCATAGCCCCTGCAGGGTCGCCCGCAGCCGAAAGGAGTCCATCATCGGCTCCAGCACCGCACCCCCCCCCGGCGGCGGCGGCCCCAAGCTCTCGAACCTATCCGTCTGCACCACCACGCCGAAGATAGAGTAGCTCAGCCAGAACCCCGCGGGGCCACCCCCATCGCCGCCGGCCACCGCAGCCGCCAAACCTGACAGTCCCGCAGCCCCCTTGACGGAGATGGCTAGCGAGAACGTCCGGGCGTCCTGCCCGTCCGCGCCCGGCCCAACCGGTAGGGCGTCGAGGTCGGACACCGCGTCGACAGCAGTCGAGGCTGCTAAAGGCGCCTCGGCTTCGGAGGCGGTGCTGTCGACCCCGGTATGGACGGCAACCTCGTCGTCTTCCAGCCCTGCTGCTGCTGCGGCAGCGACGGGTAACGGCATCGTTCGTTCCGACGCGGCCGTCGGAGAACCACCTTCGAAGCTTGCTCCCGAAGCGGGGAGTTTCGCCGAATCATTCCCCCGGTGACCGCCCGTGCCGCTGTTCGGTCGGCCTTGTTGCTCGTACCCTTCTCTACCCGGGTCCTCCTGCGGGTCGCGCGCCATGGCCAAGCTGGAGGATATCAGCACCTCCGCGGGGCTGGCGCCCTGGAGCTTGACCCAGCGCTCTTGCTGACGCTGCCCGGCGAGGTCTCGCATGTCGACGATGAACCAGCCCACCGAATCGGAGGTGTCCATTGTGGGGGAGTTGGGGTCGGTGACGTACACGTGTACCTGGAAATGGTTGCGGTTGGGGGGGTGTTGGGAGTGAAAATAAACGAGAGGTGCGAGGGAAGTCGCTGTCGGCTGGAAAGAACAAGAACGCAGGGCGTTTCCAACGGTGACAGAAGAAGAAATTCTCATGGAATGTTGGGTTCCAAAGGGATTGGTTCTTGTTTTTTTTGCCTCTCTGTCGTTGAGCTTCGTTCACCTCGCTGATGCTCCTATGTACGTACAACGCGGACAGGAGCAGCAGTGCCCAAGCGGGCGCGTGAGAAAAAATACCCGCCGTAAATCCTTGTGCCATTTTGTACGGGTTTCAAACTCACACTTCGCTTCGGCGAGGCCTCCGACAGACGACGCTCCCGCCGACAGCAACGGCCAAATGTGTGTTGCACACTCTACACTGCAATAAAAAAACTCTGGGAAATCACTGCAGCAAGAACATCCCAGGATTGGACTACGGCAAAGCCGTCGCTGTTGCTCCAAGTATGCGCAACGCTGGGCCACTCTACGAATTCAAGCGATCTACTAACTACTTCAAACTGCTGTCCTGGTTCTTCCGTGGCTAAGTAACCTCACCTTGCAGACAGGGGTGTACGCCTTGACCTGCTTGAACTGTTGCTCAGGTAGGCTCCACGACAGCTTGTCCGCGCCCCGCAGCCACGTCGCCTGGCGAGACCTCACGCCTCTGCCCCATGCCGAGTTCCCCGTTTCTCGCGTCTCGTTGGCGATGTTTGCCTGCGCTCTCAAGCACCTCCGGTAGTCGACGCTCCCCCGTCCATGCTGATGCCCGTGCTGTTGCCCGTGCTGTCTGAGCGCTAGTTCCCTCTCCTTTTCCTCGTTGAAAAACGACTGCGGGAGGTGTCGCAGCGATCGCACTACCACGGTGATCTCTTGGAGCATCGTCTGCTGTTAGAAGTCTCGCTGCTGCCGAACCAGCAGCAGCAGCAGCAACAGCAACAGCAACAAGGCAGGCTGCTGTTTTCGTCCCCTGTTCCCTGTGGCTATTCGGGCCTGATTCATGGTACACATGAGATAAACCCAGATGTTTGGCGACGAGGGAATTGGAACAGGAACGGGGGATGTTCGTCAAGAGGGGGGTATCCTGCCGTAGTAGCGCACACCACGAAAGCCTGCACTCCAATCAAAAACAGCTGCTTGCATTTCCATCTAACCCGGCACACGGTCTTGATTCTCTCTCTCTCTCTTGAAGGTTTCTCTGTCTCTGTTGAAGGTGTAAGCAGCTCCGACCAATGGGCACTCAAAAAACAGATAAATTCTCTTGGCGCGCATGCAATACAGTGTACTTTCGCTCCCAATGGGATAATGGTGAAGGTGCAGCCTACCCTTCCCGTGCATGTGCCTGTCCACAATGCGATCCTACAGAAGTAGACTACTTAGCCGAAATTCGTGACAGCTATCTTGAATATTATACTTCCGTAGTGTCACCGGTTACCGACCTACTTCGTATTCAGTACACAGTATACAGCCGCACGGTTTCGAAGCTAGAATACCAACTGCTGTGAACCCCCGTAGCGGGCATTTGTCAAGTGTCGATAGGATACCCGTAGGATACGCCAAGTTCGTCGCATTTTGGAAACGGCATTTCGAGTGACATCCTGCACAGGTAGAAGGTTAACGTTAACGTGCCGAAAACGTGCTGTACGTAACTCCGAAACATTGTGGCTGTAGCGTCAATGGCTTGACAACCGCTGCGCGCGCATGTTGTGTGTGCATGGGTGTTGCTCAGATTGAGTTCCGAATCTCCTAGCGCATCACCTCAAACCAGGGGGGTAAAACTGTAATGGAGTTGTCTGTCAGTAGTTTCCCTGCGATGGTGGAGTACCTACCGTAGGTTGCATAAGATATCACACTTTCATTAGATACCACACCCCCTCAGAAAACGTACACAATACCACACCCGTGTGCTATTTTTTTCAGCCCCCCAAAAAACGTCATTTTATCACACGGTGACATAAGATACCACACCCCCTGAAGTTGGGAGGCATTAAATCGACGGAGCCCCTGCTTATCACACGGTGTGACAACGTGAGGACAGAGATCACGACCACACCACCTGCTCGCAAGAGCCATGGAGGCGGACAATGTCGTGGAGGGTGGTGCAGTTAGCAACCCTGCTGAAAGCCCCGCGGCTCAGACTGCAGTGGGTAAGACTCCAGCGGCGGCCCCACGCTCCATAGCGTCCTTCTTTCCACCCGCCCCGGGGGAACGTGGGGCTGCTCGGACGACTCCCTCAGCAGCCGCACATGACACCGCACGTACTGCTGAGGCCCGCTCAATAGAATCTACTGCTACTGAGACTCCCACAGCACCGGCTGCGCCTGCCACCGCGGGTGCCGCTGAAACCTGCGAAGCAGAACCTACTGCTGAGAATCCCGCAGCACCCACACCTACACCCGAAAAGGCAGCTCTCCCGCCAACCACCAACACCCTGAGCGCGGCTACTGCTGAGAACCCTGCAGCAGCACCGCGCTGCGGAGAACCATCGTGCACCAACAAGCCCTTGTGGGCAGAGCCAGGGAAGGATATGCCGGAGTTTTGCGGCAGGCATGCGAAGTCTGGGGACGTCTACATCAAAATAAGGTGTGCGCAGAGCGTCTTGCAGTTTGCAGCACATGGGTGTTTGTGAGGATTCTCATGGCTCAAGCAAACCAAAGAACATGCCACGCCTGATTGCCTGATCGATAACCAGATCGAAAAAATAATGTGATTTTGACGTCGTGTCGTCGCGCTCGCCTCACTGTACATTGGCATGTACACACTACATTTACATGTAGTTCATATATTGTGGTGTGGGCGAAATGTTTACTGGATTATTTTTTTCACACACACGACACGTTTCCGCATACCGTTTTTTGTGTTTGTGATGTTTCGGTAGGAAGACTGCGAAACCCGTACCCAACACGTGCAAATATGTAAACATAACCTCGACAGCAGTTCGTGCCTGTTTGTGTGAGATACGAAATAGGTGCCGTCAGCTGGTCACCCTCTGTACCTTGCAAGCGTGGACGACATGACTCTCAACCTGGTGGCCGTTGTCAGAGCTATCCGCTAGCCATCGTATTTTTGGTACGTTTGCCTGATGGTCGTTGGAGCGAGCGCATTGTTACAGATACTGCACTTAACGACACGTATGCTACATGTTGTGTTGCTTCCTCGAACTCATGCGCTTTTCAGGAACGTGCACCTGCCTGAAGCACCGACGACAGCAGCCGCAGCGGCGCCCGTCGGCGACGCCATGTTTCCTGGAGAGTCAGAGGAGTGGACAGATGGTTTCGGTGGGCGTCTCGACGGCACGCCGGCCGAGGGCAAGGGCAAGGGAAAGAGGAAAAGAGAGCCGCTGGAATTGGAGCCACCAAACTTCCCCATTAAGTTTGGTGGTGGCCAGAAACGCAAGCGGTACGATTTGGAATTCAAAGTAAACGCCATTAAGTACGCGACCATGCAAGCCCGGGGGCGCAGGGGCCTAATGGAACCATCGGTGTGTCGTATGCGCAACGAGTGCTTGGGATTCCCGAGAAGATCATACTCTCTGCGTGGACAAAAGACAGAACAAAGTACGAGAAGCAGCTGTAACAGGCAGACCAGCTCGGGGCCAAACGCAAGAAGAAAGCCCGGAGCGTGAAGTCGTTCAGAACGGGGAGGGTTAGGTCAAACGCTGAGGCCGAGCTCGAACTTCTCGACTGGATCAACGATGTTCGTTCGGAAGCCACCTCTGCCCGCGTCTCTACAAGGATGATCAAGAACAAGGTGGTATCGCTCAACTCGCTTTGGTTCGGCCCGAGGCCTGCAGCGAACGACCTGGGGGGCAGTAGAAAGTACCGCAACAAGCAGACTCACTGGTGCAGGAGGTTCCTTAGGAAGAACCGGTTGTCATTCCGGGCGGTTACCAGGCAAGGCCAGAAACTCCCTTCCGGGTGGCCTGCGATTGCCATGAAAGCCGTCAAGGAATGGAGGGCGCTTCGTCACGGAGGAATCGACGGTGGGGGAGGACGGAGCATGGGGGGGGCAACGAGCAATGCGCCTTCGAAGCCACCTCTGTTGTTCAAGGAGGAGCAGAGCTACAGCATGGATGAAACTGCTGTGTGGATGGAGCCCGCTGGCACGTCGACCGTGACGGTGAGTTCAATAGTGTTGCTTCGAGTCATGTGCCTGTCTGGTCGTTTCTTGGCATTCCGTGCAAACAGTGGGCATTGTGATGCAATATTTCTTGCCGTACGTACTCAGTGTCCAGCCAGTAAGGCTAGACGACGTTGGTATTGCGCTTATGCCGGGTTAGAAGTTTCTTACCATTCGCATCCCATCATCGCTGTACTGCAAAACCCATACGTTGCTTTGTGCGTGAAGAGCTGTCATTCTCATCTACAAAATCGACTTTTTTCGTCGCCTCTGCTTTCTCTATTGCTTATTGCTTTTTATTTTTGTCGTTCGCAGCACACCGGTCAGAAAGAGGTGGCCATCAAAACCGGTGGAAAGGAAAAGTTGCGGATCACTGCCGTGCTTGCAGCAAACATGAAGGGCGGCAAACTCCCGGCGCTGCTCATCTTCAAGGGTAAGCCTACGGCGCCGGGCAAAAACCCCGCTGCCAACAGCATCGAACGAGAGTTCAAGGTGGGCAAGGACAAGAAGGGGATAGTATACCCTCAGAGCGTTGTGTACGCCGTGGACGACAAGGCGTGGCACACGCAGCGCGTCTTCAGGGATGTTTGGCTCCCCCAAGTGTGGAACCGGCGCCCGGGTCGCGAGGGGGTCCTGGGCAACTACCGTCAGCCGGACACGCTGCTATCGTGGGACGATTACACCGTGCACAAGACATCCCTGTGCAAGGAAGCGATGGACAAGTCCAACACGAAGCTGTTTTTTGTCCCCGGAGGCCTAACGCCCAAGATCCAGCCTTGCGATGGACTTATCAACAAGCTGTTCAAGTCCAACATGTCCAGGCTCTACGATGACCACATGGCCTCCACCGACGCCGTGCGCAACGACCGCGGCTACCCGGATCCCCCATCGAGGGGATTGCTCGCGCAGTGGGTGAAGAAAGCGTGGGATGAAGTGGACCCTGAGAGCATCCGTTCGAGCTGGAGGAAGGCTGGCATGACCCTTGCCTTCGATGGATCTGAGGACGAGGCGTGGGCCAACAAGGAGCTCAAAAAAATCCGACGCCCAAGGGAAACCACTTCGTGCAGACGGCGACGCGGCCGATGCCGGCGTGGAGGAGGCTGGCCCATCGGAGGAGGGGGAGACGATGGCCGACTTGTTGGAGGTGTTGGAAATCGACGACGATGACAGCTCGGGAGATGGCGAAGGCAACGATGACTCGGAGGTTGAGGTCATGGCAGACTTGCCGGGGGCGGACGTTATTTGCATAGACTGAGGTGTCTTGTCTGGTATCTACCTACCGTAGTTGCATGCCATGGTCAAGTCAACCAAAGCTGCTATTCGAGCCAATTTGTCCTGGGTTTCATATGTTTCGGTAGTCGCTTGTCCTCATGGTTTCTAGCTTTGGTTGATATGTAGCTGGCACTTGCTTGCGTCCTATGTGGTTCCAGCTTGAGTGGTGAACGCAAGTCTTGCAAGTGGTTGCGTCGTCCAGGTGCCTGTGTGCTGTCGTTTTGTCGCACACAACACCGGCACAACCGCTATGAGGTATCGGTTCTACGTCTTCGTTGTGTACCTATGCGAAGAATATCCAAAGGATACTGCGAAGATGCACGTGGGAAAGCATGTACGTGATGGAGTGGTGTGAGCCATCCTAGCTATCACACCTGTTTTACACCCCTTGACGCCCTTTGTACGTGGGTGCCTCCTGTAAGCGCACCGCATCACTCGAGCGACATTATTATCACACCCCCGTAGGTAGGGTCTTGTGGGCGCACTGCAACCACACGGGCGACATTATCACCCCCCCGTCAGGCCGGGTCCTGTGAGCGAGTATCACCACACGGGCGAAGTTATCACACCCCCTTGTTTTCACACCCCCTGTAAGCCGGGTCCTGTGAGCGCGCTTCATCACACGGGCGACGGTATCACACTCCCTTGTTATCACACCCCCTTGTTATCACACCCCCTGTTGGTGAGACTCTGTGAGTACACTTTATCACACGGGTGACATAAGATATCACACCCCCTACAGAATACCACACCCGTGTGATAACTTTCGTCCTCCCGAAAATGTTATCACACGGGTGTGGTATCTTATGCAACCTACGGTATACGCGCCTGCAAAACAAATCAACGTGTGTACAAACCACGTGGAGTGCTCGAGAACCCCATTTCCGGGCAGTGCGGGTGCCTGGCGAGCGGAGTGGGATTACAGCAGTATCATCGGCAAAGGCAAACTATAATTATAAATATTACCCTTTATACAGGCACTCACCCGGCGTGGATGTCTCTCTCTGACTGTCTCTCTCTCTCTCTCTCTCTCTCTCTCTCTCTCTCTCTCTCTCTCTCTCTCCCCGTGGCGCCGCTTCTGCTGCTGCTGTTGCTATTCTACGGCTTCCTCGCCTGAGCTGCTGCTGCTGACTTGACGGCTTGGCCAAGCTTGGCCCATGGGACTGTGAGATTGTTGTTCTACCCCCCCCGAGAAACGCCTTGTTTTGCAAAAATTCTCAATAACGCGCCGCATCACAGCAGGCACGCAGGCACAGCAGCAAACTCGAACCGAAAGAGAGAGAGGGAAAGAGAGCGAGCGAGAGAGAGCGGGCAATTTTATGGACGGGACGGGGGTGGGGGGCGGGGCTTCTTTTTCTGGAAGATATAATGACTGCAGCCAACACAGCAAGTGAGCGATGCCGCTGTTGCTACTGCGTTCCACTGAGACAAGACGTGAATATGATCAAAATATAATGT